TCTTGGACGTTCTGGTTCTCTTGTTGGACTTCGTCTTGAGGAATTTCTTGCAAGTCATTCTCACCACCATCTTCACTCTCCTCGCCATTGGCATCAACAATGTCGACATTCTCATGACCATCATCTTTGTCATCCGGCACGTCTTCATTGTTGCCTCTTGCAACCTCTTGGTGGGTTGGTGCATAATCTGGCATCTCCAATTCCCAAGGACAAGCTCGCTTTATTGCTGCTAGAAACTTCATTATTGTCGGGTACATGCCTCCATCTCTCACACCATGCCTCAGGAGTCGTATGCATACTGGTGTTTTGAGAGGAACGCCTCTATATTGAAGATACCTATAATAAAATATAAACAAATTGAGTATAGTTAAGAAATTGTATGTTACCTGAAAGCTGGTCAACGCATGAAGTAAGGTTGGCCAAGTTGTTTATCAAATGGAGTCGTGCTTGTGGCCTTCTTTGGCAACCAGTCCTCTCTGAGGTTTGTAAGCTCAATGGTGATAAACTCCTTGAATGAAAGTTGCTCAGGATCATCCCATATGAAAGGCACTAGGAACATCTCCCCTTCATATACAGTTTGTGAAATGTAGACGGTCCTCCTCATTACAGTCTCCATCATACTGTCCAAACCTTTTTCTCCTTCCCTTAGTTTGCTATTGAGGTCGTTCAAAATGTGTATCTATTCCTCATATGTAAGCTTTAACTTTGAGATGTTGTAAATAATCTCATCTGGAGTCTTGCCCACTAAGAAATAACTTTTGTGAGTAACTTTCATGTAAACACAAATAATACTTACTTTCATGACAAGCAATCTTTATTATAATATCAAACCACTCTTTTGGGTGTCGAGGGTCAGGCACACTAAGTAATTTCTTTACCTTTGTCTTCTTTGTGTTGTTGATTTTCTTGTCAATTGCAGCTAAATGCTCTTGATCATTTTCAGCTTGATGCGATTGTGCATATGCATCTTGCTTAACCTTCACCAATGGCTAAAGACAACACAAACATTCTATGATAAGAAGTATACTTGGAAGAACATACCTTACTCCACACAGCTGTCATAAAAGCCACTGGATTCTTGTACCATCTATTGGCATCTTAATGACCTTGTTAATGCTGAATAAGTGATGCTAAATCATCACTATAGTGGCTGCGGATTGCATCCTCGTCAAGATTGGCAAGAAATCGAATTTGCTCAATATCATGTACTAGGCTTTGTTTCTGCACTGCAAACTATCCCAACCTGCAAAACACAAATTGTTAAAAGTGATTGAAGAGGGATAAGTACTTACGCATTAATTTTGTGGCAAGCTATCACAAGCTTTGCCACATCTAGAGATCCTCTCGCATGTACATGTCCAATTGGAATATTAATGTGATACACAAAATCGTCTCAAAAGCATTCATTGATGCACTTCATCCACGCACACCAGCGATGATTCTCGTCGATAATATAGAACATTTTCCCCACAAATTGTTGAGTCTCAAAATGGCTCATAAGCATGTTGTCAAATTCACGAGACTTCATTTTCCAAATGTCATCCCAAACCTTCTCGATTTCCGGTGACACTGAGAGGGTATTTGTTGTTCCTGGCTTGAAGACCGAAACAAGAAACATACCTATGTTTGTCCCAAGGCCATTATGCTTGTATAGACTATAGCTATCCATGTTGACAAAGTGTGGTGAAGTAGACCGAACGATGCTTATCTGAGTGAATCGACATAGTGGGATTTCTCGGATTATGTCTCCCAGGCATTCCCACTTGAGAGACTCCAGAGTCGTGTGAATATCCTTCTCTTTGGTTCTCAAAACTATCTCTTGGAAGCGCTTGTCTACAATGTGTTCAGGTAACTCCACTCCTCTTTCAGCTTCAAGTACACCTCCAGTAACACCATTATCATATCTAGCCCCCAGCTCGGGCCCAACACCCCCGTTAGGCGCACTTAGGCACTGCTCCGTAATGTAGTTAGTTCCTACCATATTTTGCGAATATGTTAAGAATAGTGGCATTTGTGGTTGTGGCTGCAATGGTAGTGATGACAATCGTGCTGCTAGTGGTGATGATGCTGGCGGTGGTGGTGGTAATGGTGGTGATGACAGTGGTGGTAATGGTGGTGATGACAGTGGTGGTAATGGTGGTGATGAAGGTAGAGGTGGCAATGGTGGTGAAGGTGGTAATGGTGGTAATGGTGGTGGTGGCATCAATGACGGTGGTGGGGGTGCATATAGACTGGAGCTATCTGGTTGCGAAGACGGCAGAGTTGTCGCTGTGGAAATCTCTATTTAAAGGTCAACTTGATTGTTGTCCTGGATCTCATCTTTCTCATGTCTTCTCTTTGATCCAACATCCTTCTCCTTTTGTAGTTGCTTCCATTTCTGAAAATAAAAAAAAACTCATTATAAATTAAAAATGCATAAGAAGCGGGGACTTTGGGGCGTGGACTCGGCGTAGGTGCCAGTTCGCTGGCAAACCGGCCTGCCCCCAAGCGCCAAGTCCAAGTGCCCGGCCTGGGCACTTGGTGCAGGCTGGCCAAGGTGCTTGGGGGCGGGCCGGTTCGCCAGCGAACCGGCCCGCCCCCAATCGCCTTCGCCGGCTCACACCAAATGCCTGGCACAGGCATTTGGCACAGGAATTTGGCCTGCCTCGAAGCGCCTTGGCCAGCCCACCCCCAAGCGCCCTTGCTGGCCCCACGTGGAGTGCCACCACAGATCCTTCTGCTGCTGATTCTTCTGCTGCCGCTCCTCCTGCCACTGGCCCTTCTGCTACTGATTCCAACCAGCTAATTGAGGAGTACTGCCATGTAAGTGCACCGTGTGAATTATTGTAACTAGGGTCTTAACGTTCTGTCCTGCAGAAGTTGGAGTGGAAGATGCTTGTGAGGCACTACAAACAGGATCCGGAATTTCAAGATTTAAAGAAAGCGATATGCAGGAACATGGCGAATTTGGACCCGGAGTTACCATATACGGAACTGCCTGTTCTTTTCCCAGCGTTTACGGCAGTGACGGAGTTCTGCACCCCTTTTATCGCAAGGATCCATATGGAGGAGGTTAACAGGCGCTTGGCATCTACAGCCTATCGGAACAAAGTCTTGACGGCTTACGCACGTCAAAGGCTGGCAGATGTGAGGGGTATGAACTGGGCTGAGCTCGGCTGGCTGATTGAAACTTTTATCGGTGAAGTGATTTGTAAGAAAGGCATGAAGCTAGGGGACTTCAAGGTTCTGAGAGAATTCACCAAACTCCCTTTTGAGGGAGCAGAGCCAAAGCAGGTGCAGGCTAAGGGCTTTCGGGACGGTCAGGGAGTTGTACTACTTCCGGATAGTTATTTCTTCAAGTACACAGATTTCGTGGTGGTGTTCAAGTCTGAAGGCGTCGTCCATATAATCGCTGGGCAGATAACCATGAACCCCAAGAACCATCGAAAGTCAGAACAGAAGTTTGTGAAGAAGTCATACGTTCAAATGTGGGTACCGGACGTGAGCGAGGACGAACTTCGGGTGCATTATGCCTTCTTCAGCCCGACGAAGGTTGATTTGAACCTGGACGTGGACAAAGAGGCGGATGCTATGGAGTATCAGCTGCATGCTTCGACTTTCTTGGAGTCCTTCGCCGATGGTATCACGGAAGAAGATTGCAAGTTGCTAGAGGAGCTGGAAGAGAAGAGAAAAGAGGCCATGGAGAAGAGCAAGCAGTCCAAGAAGGAGAGGCGGTCTAAAATGGACCCTGCGGTGCTGAACTGGGTCGATAAATGCAAGAAGGCATTCCTGCAGGCGAAGGCGCGGAAGCATCAGATATGGATAACTGGAACTAAAGAGAGAATCGTGAAGTCAATATTGGACGCAGGGGTTATGGAGGACTGTGGCGGTCCTGGGAGGCAGTGTGCTGCATGTGCCATACTTGAGGGGCCCTTCTCACAGCTACGCTCACGGCGCAGGCCAAGACCAAAATGTGATAGCAAAGAGAACCTGAAGAGGAAGAAGCTGATGCGGAAAACCTCTTCAAGTAGCGATGAACAGAAGCAGAAGTGGAAGAAGGTAAGTAGTGACGAAGAGGTAGAGTAGGGATGAACATGGATGCAGTTTAAGCCTTGGTCTCGTCTGTAGTTCAGCAAGTAGATCAAAAATAGTATTGAAACTGGCAGAGTAGAATAAATACAGAACTAGCAAGGAATCTAGCTCTGCTGGAATAGATAGGAAAACTGTTGTTTGGTGATATAGTTCTATTTGTAGCCAATATTTTTTGTGTTAATGATTCTGTTTTGCATCTTCTATAAAGATCAAAATTCATTTCTTTGATGTTCCCTTCAAGAACGTAACATAAAGCTGGACTATGGCTGACAATTAATCTTAGAAGGAATGTTTTTGCAGTGTTTATCCTTAGGAGTGTTTGTCCTTGGGATTTGCATATTGTCGCAGAAAATGCAAGCTTTATAAGAAGTTGGCACCTTTTTAGAATGAATAGTATGTCTCATTGGTTTCAAAGATATCTAAATAGGACTCTTTTGCTTTACCAAGCATAATCAAAGCTGAAATATTATACAGCAGTGTTTCTACAACATTGTGAAGAGGCTGCTCATCATGACAACAGACCTCGTCTCTAAGTTGCTTGTGACCTATACGAGGTCTGTTGTCATGATGAGCAAGATGTTTTGCAGCAGCTTCTGCATGTTGCTATCCACCTTTTATAAGTTTCTACCATTGAGGTTTTAGAAAGAGACTGTGAGTTTGTCTAACACAACTTGACAACAAGCTGCCCAAAATCCGCTTCGGACCCCCATGTGCTTTAAGTGGGCTCTCCTTCGGGAAAATGTCTCCTAGGGCTTATGGTTATATTAATCTGAGGTAAACCCGCGAAAACAGAAGAGCTCTGCTTTCATCTTTGTCTTTGATCGCTTGCCACATGCATAGGCGTCCAAAACGGTCTGGTTAGTCATACTTAAGATTATTATTAGGTTAAATTTAAATATTTAAGACTAAGGGTTAGCCGCCGCGCAGAGATGGAGCTTGAGAGCAAGGTGAAGAAGGCGCGAGTGGCGAGGGCCCGTGAAGTAGATGTTGCAGAGTTGCGCAATCAAGGCTCCAAGGTTTCTCTTCCGTTCCCGGGCTTGGAGGATTCGTGCAAGATCAAGAGGCCTCCTCGCGAGTTCGCATTTTGCAGCACGGAGGAGTACATCGGTTTTAGGATTGCTGTGAAACCTTTACTCAGCGATAGCATGGGGGGCGTTTTCATATTGACAGGTACCAAGGGAGGGGGGAAAAGCAGCATGTTGAGAGCCTTCGCCTGGGAGCTTATAAAAGTTTTCGATGAGTTCAACAAGCGGCCACAACCCGGATATCCTATCACCAGAGTAGTGTGTATTTGGTACTTGGATGTGGATCATCCCGTTGCTGAACAGGTCCGTGACGTGCTACTGTTCACGTTCTGCAACGAGAAAGGCGCGGAGGAGGCCATAGCCTACATGGAAACACCGGAAGATGCTAAGGCATTTCTGGAAAGTCGGAGGCGGCTAGGCGAAAGGATCGTCCTGTTGACTGATGATGGGGAAGAGCGTCATGATCTGAGGACCGGAAGTGATGCAGAGAAGCGCAAGGCAGCCAGGAAATGGACAGACGAACTTTGGGGGCAAGCACATGTCGTGGTGAAGGCCCTTTCACCCAACAGTGAAGCATTGAAAGAATCTCGGTTTCAAGGTAGTCCCACAGTATATAATATCAGCAAGATGTTCACGAAGGTAATGTGATGCCTTCAGATTGGAGTTTGCTAACTATCTTCGTCAAACAGGCAGAGCGTGATGCGTACCTGTCGGGAACTGTTCTTGGCAAGTTTCTTGAGAACTATCCTGAGCACTGGGGTGATGTCGAGGACCTTGGTGCATGCCACCCGTTGTCACTTTCCATTCTTGTTAACCACTGCAACAGCCTGACAGGTTGCGTCTCAGGTGCTCGAAAAAAGTACATTGAACTTGACGAGCTATACGATATCTGGCGCAATCCTTCTGCCACCACTGATCCTTCTGCCGCTGATTCTTCTGCTGCTGCTGCTCCTGCCACTGGCCCTTCTGCTACTGATTCCAACCAGCTAATTGAGGAGTACTGCCATGTAAGTGCACCGTGTGAATTATTGTAACTAGGGCCTTAACGTTCTGTCCTGCAGAGGTTGGAGTGGAAGATGCTTGTGAGGCGCTACAAACAGGATCCGGAATTTCAAGATTTAAAGAAAGCGATACGCAGGAACATGGCGAATTTGGACCCGGAGTTACCATATACGGAACTGCCTGTTCTTTTCCCGGCGTTTACGGCGGTGACGGAGTTCTGCACCCCTTTTATCGCAAGAATCCATATGGAGGAGGTTAACAGGCGCTTGGCGTCTACAGCCTATCGGAACAAAGTCTTGATGGCTTACGCACGTCAAAGGCTGGCAGATGTGAGGGGTATGAACTGGGCTGAGCTCGGCTGGCTGATTGAAACTTTTATCGGTGAAGTGATTTGTAAGAAAGGCATGAAGCTAGGGGACTTCAAGGTTCCGAGAGAATTCACCAAACTCCCTTTTGAGGGAGCAGAGCCGAAGCAGGTGCAGGCTAAGGGCTTTCGGGACGGTCAGGGAGTTGTACTACTTCCGGATAGTTATTTCTTCAAGTACACAGATTTCGTGGTGGTGTTCAAGTCTGAAGGCGTCGTCCATATAATCGCTGGGCAGATAACCATGAACCCCAAGAACCATCGAAAGTCAGAACAGAAGTTTGTGAAGAAGTCATACGTTCAAATGTGGGTACCGGACGTGAGCGAGGACGAACTTCGGGTGCATTATGCCTTCTTCAGCCCGACGAAGGTTGATTTGAACCCCGTGGACAAAGAGGCGGATGCTATGGAGTATCAGCTGCATGCTTCGACTTTCTTGGAGTCCTTCGCCGATGGTATCACGGAAGAAGATTGCAAGTTGCTAGAGGAGCTGGAAGAGAAGAGAAAAGAGGCCATGGAGAAGAGCAAGCAGTCCAAGAAGGAGAGGCGGTCTAAAATGGACCCTGCGGTGCTGAACTGGGTCGATAAATGCAAGAAGGCATTCCTGCAGGCGAAGGCGCGGAAGCATCGGATATGGGTAACTGGAACTAAAGAGAGAATCGTGAAGTCAATATTGGACGCAGGGGTTATGAAGGACTGTGGCGGTCCTGGGAGGCAGTGTGCTGCATGTGCCATACTTGAGGGGCCCTTCTCACAGCTACGCTCACGGCGCAGGCCAAGACCAAAATGTGATAGCAAAGAGAACCTGAAGAGGAAGAAGCTGATGCGGAAAACCTCTTCAAGTAGCGATGAACAGAAGCAGAAGTGGAAGAAGGTAAGTAGTGACGAAGAGGTAGAGTAGCGATGAACATGGATGCAGTTTAAGCCTTGGTCTCGTCTGTAGTTCAGCAAGTAGATCAAAAATAGTATTGAAACTGGCAGAGTAGAATAAATACAGAACTAGCAAGGAATCTAGCTCTGCTGGAATAGATAGGAAAACTGTTGTTTGGTGATATAGTTCTATTTGTAGCCAATATTTTTTGTGTTAATGATTCTGTTTTGCATCTTCTATAAAGATCAAAATTCATTTCTTTGATGTTCCCTTCAAGAACGTAACATAAAGCTGGACTATGGCTGACAATTAATCTTAGAAGGAATGTTTTTGCAGTGTTTATCCTTAGGAGTGTTTGTCCTTGGGATTTGCATATTGTCGCAGAAAATGCAAGCTTTATAAGAAGTTGGCACCTTTTTAGAATGAATAGTATGTCTCATTGGTTTCAAAGATATCTAAATAGGACTCTTTTGCTTTACCAAGCATAATCAAAGCTGAAATATTACACAGCGGTGTTTCTACAACATTGTGAAGAGGTTGCTCATCATGACAATAGACCTCGTCTCTAAGTTGCTTGTGACCTATACGAGGTCTGTTGTCATGATGAGCAAGATGTTTTGCAGCAGCTTCTGCATGTTGCTATCCACCTTTTATAAGTTTCTGCCATTGAGGTTTTAGAAAGAGACTGTGAGTTTGTCTGACACAACTTGACAACAAGCTGTCCAAAATCCAAGTGTTTCACTGGCTTCGGACCCCATGTGCTTTAACTGGGCTCTCCTTCGGGAAAATGTCTCCTAGGGCTTATGGTTATATTAATCTGAGGTAAACCCGCGAAAACAAAAGAGCTCTGCTTTCATCTTTGTCTTTGATCACTTGCCACATGCATAGGCATCCAAAATGGTCTGGTTAGTCAGTTAAAGTTACTTAAGATTATTATTAGGTTAAATTTAAATATCATCATCATAGTGCTATTGGCATATGGCATCTGGCGTCTTTTATTCCATTTTTAGAATATTATTTCTGAATATACCTATAATCTAACGGTTCAAATTCAAAAACTTCAAATAGATGGCATAGATCAAGTGCCAAAGGGGTGGCAACTCTTCAATTTTTTAATGACTATCCAAATCAAGAGAAAAAGTTTAGGGCGATTGGGCAGATTGTGAGCTAGCTCTCTCTCTCTCTCTCTCTCTCTCTCTCTCTCTCTCTCTCTCTCTCTCTCTCTCTCTCTCTCTCTCTCTCTCTCTCTCTCTCTCTCTCTCTCTCTCTCTCTCTCTCTCTCTCTCTGTGTGTGTGTGTGTCTGTGTCTGTGTCTGTGTGCTGAAATTTTTCTATTTGCTGCATTTGATCAGACTGGCTGGGGACTAACGAGCCGGCCGTGCAAAAAAAGTGGCCGTGACAAAAATGGTCTTCCCAATCCTTACGAGCACCAGTCCCAAGTGAGTGTTCTATTCATTGTCGTTTAGAAAAAAAAAAAAAGAATTTTTTTCCTGTTGTTCTTGCTTGTTTGATTTCTCTGATTAGAGCTCGCAGGTGGATTTGCTGCTGAGCTTTTGCCAGCAACTAAAATTCTCATCGGTCGTGCTCGTTGGTCATGACGACAGTGGATTGCTTGCTCTTATGGCAGCTGCCAATATCTTGACAACTCTAAGCTCAACGCAGGTAAGCTCCAAGCCACTATAGTTGGATCATCTCATGGATTTTCATTTCTGTGGTGAAGGTGGTGATCAAAGGTGTGGTTTAGATTGCGGTGAGCTCCTCCAGATATTGCCATTTGCTTGAGTTTTGGTCCACACTTCTTTGGGACGGCACATACTCCGGCCATTTCTGTGCCCGGAGATGGTGAGTGGCCATGCCTGGCATGATGCTTCGAAGCTCACCTCCAAAGTGATGGACTTCATCAAAAGAAATCCATGATTTTCCGTGTATACATAGGTATCTTTTCTATCTTGTTGTGATGTCTAGGCCATTTTCTTCTCACAAACTTGCTACTGGACAAAATGAAGGAGACCACTAAGGAAAGTGTTTGTCAATCTCTCCTCTGTTGCGCATATCACCTCTTACAGCGGTGGAATCCAGTTCTCACACCTTAATGACAAAACCTGGTACGCCAAAGAACTCTCTTTTGTCGTGAGCTTACATTATTCCTTTTTTCTTCCAAAAGGTTCAATCTCTCCTCCGTCGCGCATATCGCCTCTTACAGCAGTGGAATCCAGTTCTCACACCTTAATGACAAAACCTGGTACGCCAAAGAACTCTCTTTTGTCGTGAGCTTACATTATTCCTTTTTTCTTCCAAAAGGTTCAATCTCTCCTCCGTCACGCATATCGCCTCTTACAGCGGTGGAATCCAGTTCTCACACCTTAATGACAAAACCTGGTACACCAAAGAACTCTCTTTTGTCGTGAGCTTACATTATTCCTTTTTTCTTCCAAAAGGTTCAATCTCTCCTCCGTTGCACATATTGCCTCTTACAGCGGTGGAATCCAGTTCTCACACCTTAATGACAAAACCTGGTATGCCAAACAACTCTCTTTTGTAGTGAGCTTACATTATTCCTTTTTTCTTCCAAAAGGTACTCCGACACTAGAGCATACAGTCAATCCAAGCTCGCGAACTTTTTCCACGCCAAAGAACTGGCAATAAGATTCAAGGTATTCATCTAATGCTTTGAAATCTCTCCCACCTTTCTCTTTTGCCAATGTTTTCTCTTTCGCTGATTAGGCCGAAGGAGTTGACATCACAGCAAACGCTGTTCATCCAGGGTTTATAATGACACCTTTGATGGCAATGAGATTCAAGGTATTCGTCTAATGCTTTGAAATCTCTCCCACCTTTCTCTTTCATCAATGCTTTCTCTTTCACTGATTAGGCCAAAAGAGTTGACATCACAGCCAATGCTGTTCATCTAGGGTTTATAATGACACCTTTGATGCGGTACAAGAACATTGAAGAGTAAATATGATAAAAGGTTGGCTTAATTTAGCAACTTATGAGAACTATCTAAGTTTGTTGTTTTGTTGTTCTAGGTAGAGATGGCTACGGCTAAGCGGATGATCAGGAGGACTCCACCACAGTACCTTTTTTTTAACAAACAAATCACAAATGTTCGGGTTCACTCAATTTAAGCAGCTGGAGGTGAAAACCACAAGCTCTCAACACTGCCATTAGGTGCTTGTTGACCTGAATGTAGACCTGAAGCCCCACCTGGGTCAAGCTCTGTAATGAGTGGAAAGTAAGCTCAATACGTTATAGCAGCAGCTCTCATATACCAGCCAGCTGTAGCGCACATGCAGCCAATAGCAAGCACGCCAAACAACTCCACGAAAATGATCTCTTTGATCCAATCAGGTGACCACCAACAAGGGAAAGAGAAACTGCAAAACAAAGAAAAGGAGATAGGCAATAAAAACACACAGCAGACAAACACACCTTCATTCAGGTACTATATTTTCCCTTTCCCTTTTTCACTATGCTGTTGCAAACTTGAGATAACAAGAGCTCAGCTCAATCACTAAGAGCTTAGCTGATGGATGAAAGCTGACTCACCCTTGTTTTACCTGACAGGTACACTATAGTGCCGTTTTTGTTTTGTTGTGTGGATCAACTGCTAAGGCGTTCTTAAGGGGGCAGAGGATGATTATTCAGTGAGCGTGAGACAGATGAGCAAGAAAAACGCAAGCGCCTTCACAAGCATTGGATCCAAGAGCAGACACACCAGAAAAAGTATTCTCTGGCATTTACATTATCTGGAGATGAGGTCAGACACACACCTACAGCTTACCTCCTGCATTTGCAAAAGCGCCATTGAAAATGGCGACAAGAAATGTGTCAAATAGCACAAGAGAACTATACAGCTAACTTCCAAAACACTCATTCATTCATATGTAGGCCTTTGATTTTCAGGTAAATCGGAAATAGATGTTTTGAAAAATGAGAGATGAAAACAAGAATAGAAAGAAAGAAAGAAAGAAAAAAACAAACCAAGTTTTGAAAAGCTGTGTCTTTAAAGCTTCCACTCCTTTTAAAGAAATACACACTCAAATATATCAAAACATTCTCCCAATTTTACAAAACACTTCAAAAACTTAACTGCCACCTTTTGCAAACATTATATATGAAAAAAGATCCTTGTTACAACCACCAAATCCTGTGCCATCTGCAAGGCAGTGCTTAGATCCCAGTACATTCGACAAGCTCCCAGCAGACTCTCTCACTCCTCTTGCCCAGCATCCCCTTGGAATCCTTCAGCTTCCCGGCCCTTGCAAACACATGCTGCTGAAGCAATCTGCAGTGAGATTCAAGCCATGGTTGCAGACTCCAAGTACTGCCACATGTGCACGAAAGTTATCTCCTCCTATTTCAAGGCCATGGCATGGAAGAGCCATGGCAACGTTGCCTACATTGCACATGACTAAAACTTTGGTTTCAAGCATGTCGTCCATCACGTACTTGACACCCTCTCGTTGGATTCCAGAGTCTTTGATCCCACCGTATGGCTGGCTATCAACGCGCATGCTTGGCAAATCATTGAGGCAAACTCCTCCAGCCTGTGAGGATAAAATAATCATCAAACAATCGATCAATACTTTCTATATCTCAAACGCAAAGCTACCTCTATGTGCTCAAACGCATAGAAGGCCTTGTTTAGATCATGCATAAAGACGCTGGCCTGGAGACCATAATGCGTGTTGTTAGCTTCCTTCACGGCTTCCTTGAAATCACTGCGTCACCACCGTTTTAGTTTAGAGAAAAAAAAGGAAGTAAAGAAGAACTTCAGGGGCTAAGAAACTTTGAGAGCTTACTTGTATGAGTAGAGAAGGATCACTGGACTGAAAATCTCTTCCTTCTTTGCATCTGTGTCAAAGGGAGCGTCTTCCAGGATCATTGGCTCCATGAAAGCTCCCCTTCGCTTACCACCAACTAAAAGTTTGGTGCCTGCCTTCACTGTCTCGTTCACGCTCTTCTCCACGGTAGCTGCCAATGACTTGGGCCAGATTGACATGTCGTCTTGGTGAGGATCTCCACCTTTGAGTTTCTTAATGGCAGCAATCAATGTACACAACCAGCACCAAATACGTTAGATCAAAGCTCGATTTGAGAACAAAGAATATGATAGAATTTAAAGATGAGTGTTGGATACCTCACCTTTCACGTAAAGACGCTGCATGTG